GTGTGTGTGTGTGTGTGTTTGTGTGTGTGTGTGTTTGTGAGTGAGTGAAATAGAAGGGAGAGAGAGAAAGCGAGAGAGAGAGAGAGAGAGAGAGAGAGAGAGAGAGAGAGAGAGACAGAGAGATAGAGAGACAGAGAGACAGAGAGACCGAGATACACACACTTACAGAGGGGAGAAAGATAGGGGGAGGGAAATTCATCAATATACATTTGTGGCTGAAAGCTGTGTCGACATGTTTCCACCAAAGCAATAAAATAACAGCATTAGCATACACTGTAAACCTGTCTTTTATCTCGTTCAGAAGTATGTTTGTTTTATTGTACATATACCATGCCCCTGTGAAAAGATAACATAATTCATCAAAATTTCTTTTCTCTATACGAATAAATTGTTTTTCAATATGAAACCTATGTCCTTGATTTTTCTGTTTGCGAGCATTGTATGACCGACCCCATGCTTTCTCACGGCAAATTGGCCCATGAATAAAAACTGCTCTATAGCAATAGCAATACTTTACAGGCTCGACAGTGTCCTTGTTATCGGTAAGCGTTTTACGGCACTTGCAACACAATTAGGTCATGTAAGTGCCCAAAATTGGAATTGCCACAAGACACTTTCTTAAAGTCTTGGTTTTAGTAAGAGTTTTACGTACTCGTACTACAATAAGGTCATAATATAAGTGCCGAAGATTAGAGGTGTAATAAGAGAGTAACATACACAAACAAAGAAGGAGAGATGAGGGCGATAGACCGTTTGACAGGAAAAGAAAAGCAAACCACACCAGAACACCCGCCAACCACCCACTACAGGAGAGTAACAACGAAGGTGGAAAGATGAGGACGATAGAGTGACAGACAGGAAAGAATGAGCAAACCATATCAGAGAACCCACAAACCATCTACTGGCAGTCTCCGGTCTTGACTCCAAGAGCACTGGAATATCGATGATAACGTTCAGGGTTAGGGATAGGGTTAAGCCTAGGGGTACGACGGTTAGCGATAGTAACATTATGGGTTAGGGATAAGGTAAAGCGTAGAGTTAACACGGTTTACTTGCACCTTGAACTTCAGATTTGAACAGTAAACGGAAGGGGTCAAGGCACAGCAAGGGACGTAATTTACAAATAGTCACACACATTATAAAAAGTTCAGTAATGTCCCTTGTTCCACATTACGCATGGATAAATGATCCAGTAAAAGGCAGTCGAAAGTGCCCAAGTCGCCTCGCAATGTCTAGTGGAAAGTGACTGTTATTGTATCTGGGACAGATGGATATCTCGGACAATATTATCATAAACGAGATGGGTACCCTGTTCTATGAACGGACTCAAAAGAATCGATGCTCAAGTCATTGTGGAACCAGTATGAACTGTTCGTGAACGGAACTCTCAATTGCTTACAATGGCATGTAAGAAGACGATCTTTCCCAAGATTAGATCTAAGCGAAACTATTGAAAAACTGGAAATTAGACTACTTTGACTTCAGACTCCATATTATAACTGTGCACTCTTTAAATTGTTCTGAGCCACCGTTAATTTGGTCAAATTCGAAAGTTCAGCGGTTGGGAAGTTTTAGGCGGCCAAAATGACGAACTTTCAGAAATAAAAATATAATATTATGTATAGATAACAATATAAAATGTAATTTACATATAGTCATCCACCTTAAAAAAGATAACATTATGTCCCTGGTTACACTTACCTTTAGTTTTAGTAAGAGTTTTACGGCACTTGCAACACTATAAAGTCATATAAGTGCCGGAGAGAGAAGATGTGTTACAAGAGAGTAACAAACACAAAAAAGAAGGAGGGGGGGGGGGATAAAGACGATAGACGTTTGATGGAGACGAAGGAACAAACCAAATCAGGTGAAGATAGAGGTAAGGAACCGAGCAAAACATGGAGGGACTTTGAGAAAGATACACCTCAAGGTAATATTTGAGGAGAAACAATATGTGGCCTGAACTGCATGGGGAGTTATAAAGAGAGAGCGAGAGAAAGAGAGAAAGAGTATGGGGGAGAGAGGGACATAGGAGGGAGAGAGACACAGACAGACAGACAAACAAAAAGAGACAAAGACAAACACACAGGCAGACAGGCAGACAGACAGACAGAGATACAGAAGATACAGAGACACAAAGACGGACAGACAGACAGACAGAGAGAAAGAGAGAAAGACATACAGACAGGTACAGACAGACAGACAGACAGACAGACTCACACACCCACAACTAGACACACACACACACACACACACACACACACACACACACAAACACACACACACACACACAAACACATACACACA